GCTCTGCAACACAGCTGAGAGGCATTGTCCGATTATCCACTCCCTGGGTGTAGCACACAGCTGAGATGCATCCTCTGATTAACTTACCTCTTGTTTAAATCACTGGCAGACGCGCTCTCATTTGCCAGTATATTGAAAATTTTCGTCATCACACTACATGTGAATCTACGTTCTCCAGCGAGACTCCAGTACTCTGGTGCTCTCCTATTTTTCTCCACTTCCTGGTTGTTTCACCTGGTGTTTCTCTGGGGGCATCTGCCTCGGGCCCTCGCTGCATTTGAGCTCCACGTGCAGCGGCTTGCCTCCTCCGAGCTATGCCACTTCAGCTCGCCTTCTCTGAGCTCCTGGCTGCGCTCCCTCATTCTGCGCGGGCGGGCGTGCGCATGCTCCCTGCACTCGGCTCCTCCACGCCGCAGCTATCTTCACCCCAGGACTTCTGTCTCAGTCGGTTTGCCTCTGCAGAGTGGGATCCCAGCCTCTCTACTGCCTCCTCTGATTAAGCACTCCAACCTCTACTCTCAGGTTGCAAATTCTCAGTCATCCAGGTCATAGTAAGCTGAAAAAACTTCAGAAAAATCAACTGGACTAGGTTTTTAGGTCGAAGACATTTCACCTCTGATCCAAGAGGTGATCCATCAGTTCGGAACTGATCAGTTTAACCTCTACTCTCATTCCCCACAGACTGCACTCTCCTCTGTCCCTGGCCATCTGCTCTACCCAGCTCCCAGGTTAGTGTGTGACATTTCAACAATCACGCTCATCTTCCCTTTGCTCTCTCTGCTACTCCAGAACCCTGGTTTATCTCCCAAGTATCCACTTCAGTCTTCACTCCACCAGCCCCATCGTCCTCTGCCAGACCTCAGTAGTTGCATTAACTGTTCCTCTCCTTACCTGCACTGTTGTTGTAATAAAGACTCTTAATCAGAACTGTTGTCTGCCATCTGAGTCCAACCCGCTAGCTCACCTCGCTCCTGCGAGTGAGCAACCATAACACAAACTGCATTTACCTCATACAGTAGTGTGTTGATGTCATGTAGAAACGTTATCTACGTATTGTGCAATGTAAGGTAATATAAATGCTTTGCAAATGCTTTACCCCTTTCTCTTATGCCAGGTACAGAAGGTTGTACAACAAGAAGTTCAGGATGTGCAGGCGTTGCACACTGAGGAGCACTACTGTGCGCAGCAGGTTGTCTGCTACAGAGAACAGGCATGAGGCCAGGCGATCCATGTCATCTTGGGATTCTGTTGGGTATCCCTGCCCCCACTCATGCAGGAGCTGTTGCAGAAGCAGCAGAGGGCTCTGTGGGTCAGCTTGTGATATTTTTAGGCATTTCTATTGAGCAGCGCTTTATTGTCCTGGAAGAGGTCTTGTGTCTGTGGTACATTCCAAAGTAAACAAATTTAATCATAAATGAGAAAAATTAATGGCCAGTAACCTCCTCATATTCTCAATTTGAAGCAGCTACAAACAGCAGCTGTGGTGAATGAGAGCTGCTTTGTTTACACCTGTGGTTCTCAAAGTGTGGGGTGCACCCCACTAGTGGGGAATAAAGACATGACAGGTGGGGTGCAATGAACGGAGAAAATTAGAAATGGGTCATTAATACAAGCAAATTAAAATAATATCAGTGTAGGGCCCAGGAGAAAAAAGTGGAACCATAGTGTAACAATAACGGTTTAACCTCGACATGTTAACTGCTGCGCAACAATATAAGGAAACTTTCATAGAGAGGGCCAATAGTGTACGTAGTGGGCATAATAACGTAAATGGATAAATTTGTTACATAGACCACAAAAAAAGCAGACGATTCAGCGCAATCAGACAAAGAAACAGGCAGTAGCCTAATCAACCAAAAGCCAGCCGAAAAGGAAATATGATGAAGCCTATCTTGTGCTTGGATTCACGGTGGGAATGGTGGGGGCAGAGGACAGACCAATGTGTGTCTTGTGTCTTAAACCGCTGGCAGCAGACAGCATGAGACCCAACAAATTAAGAAGACATTTAGAGACAACACACCCGGGTCAATTGCTGAGCAGCTCATTCTCCCTGTAACTGTAGTCATGGTGTCATTATGCTGGATGAAACAAATGTTGCAAAATTGAGAACTATCCCTCTGTCAAACGATAGTTGCACTTATATTTTATCTGTTTTCAACTGTTATTTGATATTTCAATCAATTTGAAATTTTAAAATTGGCCAGTTTCGTTATAATTTTTTGACAAGTGGGGCTTGAAAATTCACCCACCCTCTTAAGTGGGGAATGACAAAAAAAGTTTGAGAACCACTGGTTTACACCTCGTGTATCTGCAGTCTAGCTCATCTGTCCATTTCTGAATGGTGAATACAGATTCCACCACCTGCTGGTAGGTAGAGACATTCCTCTTACGCAGGCTCAGAATATACGTTGCTAGTTGGCTGTGGTCATGTGCCACTTCGCTGTCCAAAATAGCCCAGACAAAGGTGATGTGATGCAATGCAACAGTCGGCCTTCGTCACTGCTAGTTCTTTCATGCTGGCTTGGTGTGTCTCTGCCCTAAAGGGCTGTTGTTAGACCTCCAGGTTTCCTCCAGTAAAAACAAAGGCAAGGTTTTTGAGTTGAGGAAAGGAAGTTCAAGAGTTCACATACCCTTCACCATATTGTGTATTTTAAGAGTCTAGTTAAAAACAAAAAAGCCTGTAAAAAGCAAATAAGTGTTTTTCTTTAAGTCAGCACTACAAAATAAACAATGATTTTGCCAGTAGTATCTTCAAACTGTACACTGTATCAAAATATTTAAAACCGAAGCTGTCTAGTGAAACATACTCAAACCCACCAAAGTTGTTATGGAAAAAAAGGACAGCTGACACATCTCATACAAGTCACCACACACACACACTACACACAGGCAAAAGATAAAAACAGAAAAGCAGATGCTGAGAAGCTGAAAATGTCAACTGTAAATGGCAAATCGATGTGGAACCAGACTTGTCAGAAAACACAGTGTCATCTAGCAAATGCTGAGAAGTACATATTTTCTTGCTGCCCTTTTCCAATTGTCACACTGGTTCTTCTTTATGTGAGAATTATTCTGGGAAAACAGATAATTCACTGAAACACAAGTAAAATTATGTGATACAGGACAGTGTAACAACTTCTTAAACCTAAAATGACAGACAGATAAGGTACAAAATATGTTTTAAATACTGTTTTTAAATTTGTAATACTATACCAACTTGAAATGGATTTTTGCAGACAAAGGTCTTAGCGAAAGTAAAATAAACCGTGTAAGGGAATGTTTATTAAAATGTTTATATATTAAATTATATGAACTACACATGTAGTTCATAGCCTAATGTGTGTCCACCTCATCAGACACACAAAAAATCATGTTTTATAATTTTGACCAATTCAACAGGAGCAAAGTCTCAGTTATCTAATAGTTTTCAATTAGAAGTTAAGACATATGATTGATTATACACATTTTTATGTCTGCACACTGGCAACAGCTGTGCACAGAGGCATTATATTTTTGGGTTGTCTGCTCATCCAATCTACATCCACCCAGTTCCCTTTGGATTTCTTCAGATTTGGCACAAGCATCCACTTGGACTCAAGGATAAACTGATTAGATTTGGGGGGTCAAAGGTCAAGGTCACTGTGACCTTTCACTCACTTCAAACTTGCTCCTTGTCTGTTACACCAGATGTTGCAAGTTACGGATTGCTGCCTAAGTTATTATAGGCCTTTTTGGCAGCAGTAACATGTCTGATGCAATCTGTAATACCACTGATGACTTTTGCAACCAGTGCAACTGTACAGTAGTATATAGTGTTTGGTTGAAGTCAGCACCCCTTTTCAGCGGTTCCCTCTGATTACAGATAACCGTGCTGCGACTAGAGGACTTCAGGAAGCTGCGCTCAGTCTCTACACCCAGCTGCTAGAGCAGGCAACATAGTGTTAGAGTTTTACCTGGTTCTTTTATTGAAAGCGTGAGAAGTGAAGACAGGAAAGGACAGTTTAAAATCAACAGAAAGTTTACTCAAAGTCTGGGCACAGGTGAAGCCATACAGCGCTGGGATCAGAGAGACAGGCTCCCGCAGGAAATCATTCTCTGAACCACAAGTTATGTTTCCTCATTACATTTATCTTCTTGGGCTAGGCCCGCCCTGGACAGAGGTACAACATTTCACACTTCTTAATCCTATTGGCCATTTGGCATGAGCGAGCAACCCCTGCCTGCGCCTGCTTGCTGAAATGTGATCTAAACCAGCTGTGTGTGTGTGTGTGTGTGTTGTGATTGTCAGGTGGCAACCGATTAATGAACACCCAACAATTGGTTGTCTGTGCTGCAGACCCCCTATCTGTGTAGACTAAAGCAGGACCTAGTGAGTATGCTAAACGGGCCAGATGGTCATCTCAGGTTGTAGGCCCCCTGTCTCTGCAAGATACCACATGACAAAGCAGAACTTGGAATAAGCTAAGTGGGCCTAGGTGAAGGTGCAAAACAGGTCAACACGTCTGTGTTAAAATGTAAAATATACCATCTGATTACTTGAAAGTACAGACATCATCTCTCCACAAAAGTTGCAGCATACAGTTCCAAAGTTTCACTCGGTAGAATTGGGCAGTCATCAATACAGTTTTAATATGTATAAGCAAGGAAAAATAAAGGTATGAAAAGTAACTAAAGCTTATAAAGTAACTAGAGCCCATAAGATTCAAATCTTACAATACCATACCATACCAACTTCATTTATAAAGCACTAAAACAACCAAGGTGGACCAAGGTGCTGTACATTGCAATAAACAATATGTATTAAAAGCACAAACAAAATCAACACCAATATAAAAACATGAATGAATAAAAATAAATAAAATCAACACCAATATAAAGTATCAAAACGCCAATGAAAATGAGTTTTTAAAAGAGACTTAAAAACAGAGAAGAAGTTTGTCTGATGGGCAGCGGTAAATCGTTCCAAACTTTGGGACCAGCGACCGCAAAAGCCTGGTCGCCTCTAAGCTTACGCTTAGTTTTAGGCACGCTCAAAAGAAGCTGATTGGCTGACCTCAGAGAACGTGTGGGTGTATGCCAGTGAAGCAAATCGTATAAGTAGGGTGGTGCAGAGCCATGAAGGGATTTAAAAACAAAAAGTTAAATTTTATAATGGACCCTAAAATAAACAGGTAACCAGTGCAGGGAAGCTAAAACTGGAGAGATGTGCTCATATTGTCTCGTACCTGTTAAAAGACGTGCTGCAGCATTTTGGACCATCTGGACGCGAGTGATGGAAGACTCACCAATCCCCAGATACAATGTGTTGCAGTAATCCAGTCGGGAGGTGATAAAAGCATGAACAAGTGTCTCAAAGTGACGCCTAGAAACCATTGATTTTACTTTGGCCAACAAAAAACTAGATTTAACGACAGCTGCAATTTGGCCGTCAAATTTCAGGTTAGAGTCCATCTTAACACCCAGATTTGAAATATTTTTCTTATTGTATTGAGCCAAAAAGCCCATGTCAATAGAGGCTGACCCAGCAGAATCACCAAACACTATCACCTCAGTCTTCTCCTTATTCAGCTTCAAAAAATTAAAAGCAAGCCAAGCTTTAATGTCATCAAAACATTCAAGCAGTGAGTACACAATGGTGAGTAGCCAACTATTTGAGAAATACTGTATTAAACATAGTATTACATGACATATGCCTTTGACACAGTTTCTTAAACTACACTACATTATTGCAAAAAGTTGGTCTATTTTTATGGCTTTGAAGGCAAGGTCATCAAAGTAACTGCAATTGGGAAAAGCTCTGGATTAATCCATAAGAAAGGCTGATTTAAAGTATTAAACAGAACAACTTGGAAGATGGAATCAACATGGTGAGTGCCTTCAGAGCTTTAGTGTGATATACTGTATGTTTAAAGCATGCTTTATTTTACTCTTTGGATAGCTATCAGTTATGTGGTCTCTGCAGTTTAGCTAAATTTTGGCACTGCATCTGTAGGTGAATGAACTTTTGAACTTCACAAAACAAAACTCTTTTGGTTAGTATTATTGACAAAGTACTATTTTTACACTCCTTTTAAAGTAATATTTATTATAAATAGGTTATAAAAGGGTTACACAAATATATACATGCAAATTTTTATTTAAAAAAAATACAGCAGTTAAGAGGGTACATTATAAAACTTAGACATTTAGAGAATAATTCTTTATGTTCATCTACTGCAACATACTGTTTGGAAAAACTACCTTGCATTGAATTTGATTACAAGTACTGAAATATCTGAATGATAAAGGCTATAGGCCACAACAGGTAAACAGATGCTTAGTGTTTCCAGTTCCTGACACGTTGCAAATTCTCATCTAAGCACAAGTGACATATCTCTCCTGTA